AAAGATGTTTGGTGTGGTAAGCTAGTGTAAATTACTGCACTTTGATAGTTTGCTCTGGACATGACTTTGCTTATGAATGCAGATGCTCAAAGTATGAATAGAAATAGAAGATTCTTGACAACAAAGAAGATGCTTGCTTCTTCTGAGTACCCAGTTGATAGGGATGGGCAATTTAGAAATTGGATATGTAAAATGGGGGGAGATAAAGGCATGGAGTGGCTGCCTCACAAGTTTTCATGGGTGTGCATAATTAAAATGATATGGAGAAAGTTAATCCATCATGTATGAAGGGGACAATGGTTAAGGGAGCTAGGGGGTGGTGTGTGGTATAGTGAATTACCTAATGTCTCATCTAGCCATAGATTAACTCCCACCAAACAACGCATCTACTCTACTGGATCTATGAAAGAGAACGTGGGAGAAAATACTGATAAGATGACATCATTCAGCTGTGGATGTTAGCAGAGTTCACTGTAATGGTAAAAACGTGAAACTCTAGCATAATTTTAGAGTGAGCCATTTTAGAAATAGGAGGGGGACCCTCATTACCATCAAAGAGGGAGAGCTGGGAGTGGAGTACACCCTTGGACCCCGAGAGCCCTGTGTATCGAACTTCCTTAACCCAGGGACAGAAAGTTGTGAGAGCAGAGGAACAGCAGCAGAAGGGCCAAGAGCCAGAACATGGGTCAAAGCAGTGGAGTTTCGAACCCATGCAGCAAGTAAAGCCGAGTGACTGTGGGCAGAAAGCTTGCTGGGAGAGTGGGGTGCCTCCAGGCACTTAAGTTGGGAGCTAGGTTTGCTGAGCCGCAGAGCCAGAGCTGTCTGCCTTCAGACTGAGGCTTATCGTGGTGGAACTGTGTGTCCTGTGAGCATTTATCAGCAGTTGACTGGAACATCTGTACCCTGAGCATTTCTAACCCCAAATTTTAACCTGTTAACTTCTTTTTTTGGTTCCATAGGATGAGCACTGGACTGCAAACCACAAGGACAGCAGTTGGAGCCCACCAACAGCTCCATAAAAGAAAGATGAAGCTTTCTACTCCTGCAAAAGATTTAAAGCCTCGGAAAACGTACCCAGGATCAATAGGATTCAAAACCGACTCCATGGTACTTAACAGCAACTTCTCTATCAAACCCCATAATTGCGTATGGTGTCTGAGTCCTATGTGGCCATTGCAGTGGATTATGGACCGAGCTGAGTAAGAGGGTTGTGGGAAGATGGTTAGCTGTCACATATTTTTGCAGCTTCACATTGCTTGGATCCACAATCCACACTCATGGAAGCAACAGTCAAGAAATCAAATGATGTATTATTGAATTAGGCAAATCAGCTGCACAAGACCTCTTCAAAGTGTTCAAGAGCAAAGATAACAGTGTGAGGACATAGGTGTTCCTGACCCAAGCCATGGTATTTTCAGTCGCCTCATATGCATGTGAAAGTTGTACAGTGAATAAGAAAGACCACAGAAGAATTGATGCATTTGAGTTATCGTGTTGGAGGAGAATATTGGAAGTACCATGGACTTCTAGAAGAACAAACCAATGTGTTGGAAGCGCAGCCAGAATGTTCCTTAGAAGCTTGGATGGTGAGACTTTATCTCTCATACTTTGTACATATTGTCAGCAGGGACCAGTCCCTGGAGAAGGAGATCGTGCTTGGTAAAATAGGGTGCTCTGGGTTAATGCGCTGAACTGCAAGGTCAGGTTGAACTGCAAAATTCAAACTCACCATCTGCTCCTCGGAAACCCTATACAGAGTCGTTAAGAGTTGGAACCGACTCAACAACACTAAACAACAACAAAGTGGAGAGCTTGCAAAAAAGAAGACCCCCAATGAGATGGACTGGCACCGTGGCAGCAGCAATGGGCTCAAGTGTAACAATTGTGAGGTTGGCGCAGGACTGGGCAGTGTTTTGTTCTGTTGTGCATGGGGCTGCTACAAGTCAGAACCTACTCAATGGCACCTAACAACAACAGCAACATGAAATTTAAAAACAGCTTGTCCATTTCTACCAAAAAACCTGCTTGGTAGATTTTAATTGGGATTACATTTAATCTATGTATCAATGTGGGGAGAATGGATATTTTAGTAATATTGACTTGTTGGCTCAGTGAACATGATTTAGGTCTTCAACTTCTTTCAGCAATATTTAATAGATCTCAGTCTTCAAGTCTTAACCCATCTTTTGTCAGATTGACTCCTAATGTTTCTTCTATTTTAATGCTGTTGTAAATGGCATTTTGGAGTCCAGGTGTGGCACAGTAGGATACAGGTGGATTTGGATTACAAGGCTGGCAGTTAAAACCCACCAACCGCTCCTAGAAAACCCTCTACAGGGTCACTATGAGTCAGAACTGACTTGATAGCACTTAACAGCATCCTGGTACATGACTAAAGTCACTTTCTTCTTTTGCAGACTCTGTACGATTTTCTATGTAGACACTCATGTGGTTTTCAAATGAAGGCAGATGTAACTACTGTGTGCTAGCCACCCACTCATGCTAGGCCAGGAGATTTAGTGGTAAATATGAGACACGATCTCTGCATCTCACAGACCTTACAATCCAGTCTGGAATATTGGTATTCATTAAAATATCAGATACTGAAAAGTGCTTGAAGACAGTAACAGATGGGATATACAGAGAGCGATGGGGGAGCTACTGTAGGGCAGGCAGGTGAAAACATGCTCTCTTGGAAGGAAAGGAAAATGGTTTTCAAGGAGGAAGAAACGTATGCCCCAGAGGTATCACCTGAAGACATTTACTCAGATAGGCAATGAGATCATCTGGTACTTTGCTAGGAGAGTTTGAATACTTTGTTGGGGTAGAAGTCATGTTGTAGTGGCTGGGAAGTTGAAGAAAACATGAATGTAGCCACTCTATCAAGAAGCTTGGATGTGCAATCTGTCTAGGCAGGGCTGATGAAATGCGGATAGATCTCTTGTGATACAATAGTGAATAATGTTATCAGGACTGATTGTGAAGGTTGGAAATGTAAAGATAGACGTTTTATAGCAAGGAGGGGAGTGACTAACATTTCAGTCTAGGAGCGGAGGTCCCTAGGACCATCAATGGAGAACAGCGGAGAGCGGGACCCTACCCAGAGAAGCAGTGATGCCTGAGATGGAGGCAGAGACGATGACGTGGAGCTATGGAGCAGCTGGGGACTTGAGATCCAGAGAAGGAGAGGGACTGTGTGCTGACGACCGGGGAGGGGGAGCAGGCTTGCAGGGTATATCCTTTTGTTGGTTGATGATGCATGGAGGGAATTGTAACCGTGGCAATGAA